GACACCACCGTCCTGAATTAATCCTGCATTGCGTTTTGGACATTGCGTTTTGCGTTTTACACAGGAAAACCCAGGAAAAAAAACATAGGAAAAAAAAAAGCAAATTAATCTATCTTATTTTAAATAAATCTTATTTTTAATAAATCTTATTTTTCAAGATGTGTCAGGGCACTGACGTTTAGAATCATTCAAAGTGAGATCTGACCCGAACCGAAAATCCTAGCTTCCAGTTCGAAGGGTCGGTAAGCGAATACCTGTAGCCCGAATACGGATAGCCCTTGGACTTCAGGCTCCAAAGTCTCAATTATGTTGTGTCACGCAATGACGTTGTATCTCGTAGCTCCCGTTAGCTTAACACGAAAGCTCGCTGGCGTATTATACATTGTCTCTTATACACGGAGCGACTTCAAATGGCATATGGTCCCGCTCACTAGCCGTCACCTATACTTGAAAATGTAATATTATAACGAACGGGGAATTGGCTTCACGCATGAGTTTTTTACTTTGATAAATCGAGTCTATTATTTAGAATAATTCAACTCCAACTATTCGAATAAGAAGATATCGTTCATGCACCTTCTATGGTAGGCAGCGGCTTGGCATTGCTGAAGTCCATGAGCAACGGTAACCGATTACCATCAGGTGGGCCGTATGCTCGTCTGCCTAAAAGGGCAATAAATAAAAAAAACCATAGTAAACTTCAGATCGCGACTACCAAATTAGGATAGTGGTTCCGAAAGTGACGCTTCGGCATCAGCCCCACGGAAAGCAGAGCTGTGCTCTTCAAAAGGGATCGCCCTTCCAACACCATAGCTAGTAAGTAGCTCGTCCGTCCCGGATTAGGCACGGTTACTCCATTCCCGCTATCAAAACCTTGCCGTCACCCTCGATAGAGGGATGATATTGAGGCCCTATATTAGTACAGTACGCGACCGAGTTGTACCTACTCGATCGACTCTATCCGATGATTTGCAAGCGAAGTAAATTGTTCTTTCGTAACAACTTTGACACTCTACAAAACTTGCATTTAAGGTCCATCATGAACTATGCAAGTGTATGCGACGGGTCCTTACGCGACCCGCAATCACATCAATTCTCTCCTGGTCATCCATTCCCGTTTCTGCAGGATAGCCGTCTGAGCAACGTAGTACGCAAGGAAGTTAATCTTAACGAAGACCTAAATCCATAATCGATACGTAAGTATCTTAAGGAAGTGTGAGAACGTTACTTTGATAAATCTGCGCGACACGAAAACTTTCATAACGTGGCTGATGCCCCGGATTTATTCTCGGTTCCTTTAGGCATCGATCACCGTCCTCGTTGAAATCGTCGATTAGAATTCGAGGAGCGCACGAACCAATAGACACACGCTACTGCGTTTCTCGATGGATCTACTCAATGGGTCGCGATTCCAACCTGGTGGTTGATTCTTCGAAGTATTGCTCTTGCTAGGACCAGTGCTACCACATTCTCTCAGGCAGAGCCCCATGAGCTTAGATACTAGTCTGTGAATAGCTGGGATAGTCCCTTAGGCTACCAACGATTAGGACGAGTTTTGTGCGAAAGAAAATTATTGGAACGTCCACGGGAAAATATGTCACAACTAGAAAGTAGTCATAACGGAGCGTGACTGGGCCCCTCAAGTTCTCCAACCAGGAGTATAATGTAGTTTTGGTTTAGCGGATGAATTTCGCTATTGGATATAGAATATCCCTCGACATTCTAATGGGTATAGAAGCTGTTCATTTTATATCCTATTTATCCTCTCCGGTTTTGGACTTAAGTAATTGCGTCATAGATTTGAAAAATCTCAAATAATATTTATTTACTCGTTTTACAAAGAAACATGGCTTTGGCGCCTAAGGGGCTATTCCTACTACGCGGACCGATAGGTGAGTTCACGGGTTCAATCTGAGAGAATTGCTAACACTAGCCCTAGCAAGAGCAGTGCTTCACTGAATCTACTACGGGATTGGAATCGTGACTCACTTGGAAGATCCGACGTGCGAACTAGCCCATAGACACAACTCAGTGGGTTGTGTCTATGGGCTAGTTCGCACGTCGAGCTCTTCGTGGGAGTCGACCCAATTAGGCTGTCTTCAGACTACCTGGCCGTGAGCTCGGCACACTCGCACTACACGGGTTTCAGAAGGCACACAGTCTAGTGCGGCGAGTGCAGGTGATGCGAGCGAGACTACGAGCTAATGCGAGCAGCATTCAATTGTGACCTAATACCAATTACTCTGACTTTCGTAAACTTACATTCTAAAATTTACAGTCACCATCGCTTAGAGTCACTTCACATTAACCTTTTAATAAAACTACATTTAATCATATGTATATATAATACATTTTCGCAGTCTCATAGTCATGTAACTATGGTCTTGGGTGACATCTAGACAGAGTATACCATAATTTAGACGGTCGGTCTTCTCGTTAAAATAACCTCTTTCAGGCAAAACCGGTTGCTTATCGGTCAAAGAACTGATTGGTAAGACTAATTATGTGAGTAAAAAACCCATTAATTTTCTTGATATGAAGTAGTTAGTTATTGGAGTCCATGGAGATCATAACGTGAATGCCACCACTTACCTAGAATTTTAGCTGTATTTTACAGCGGCTGTCCAGGCTAATCGGAATGCCCAACTGCTTCGCACGAGAAATACCGTCGCCTCTCATCATTATCTGGAACCCTTTAACTCATGTCGCGAGCTCAGGTGAGTTCGGATGGAGAAGAAAACATGATTACTTCTCAAAAAAAATCGAAGTTGTTTTTTAATAAAATCACTTTCATATGTATCGAAAGCCAAAACTTTTATTTGTTTTGTAGTAAGTAATACGGATGCGGACTGTGTGCTCTGCTGATAACTTGTAATTGTGTGTCGATGTTCCTTCTGGTCCTATGTGAACGTACGGCCACGAAGTGAGAGAGTACCGAAGCGGCAGCGGGTTTTATTTATCGAATTACTACAACTCCACGCGTCACTTGACATTTAATGTGTGCGGTGTAATGTCTGAGCTAAAATATTGGTTGGATTGTGATTTCATTTAATTAAATCTTAACCCACATCCGTTTTCAGAACAGTTTACTTAATATAAGTATTGTGTGTGTAACAATACACATCGCTAGATTGCAAATAGGACATTTTTTTTGTGGTTTAATCAAACGTTTATTATATAAATTAAAAAAATTCCTACACGTAGAATACTTGTCAGCTTTTGAAGCTATGGGCGACTGAAGATTCGAGCAGCAAAGGTGAGATTAAGCTGTTAAATACTGTTCACCATTGCTATTTTCCAAATTTAGTAAATACCAAACCAACGCCGCGGTTACCCCTCGTTAAATTTTCATGAAATTCGTCGTTCATTCAATTTCATGAAAAAATCGGCGTACGTAAATTTGTAATGAAAAAAGTGATATTTTTTTAGGTATTTTAGGTATCTTTACCTACCTATTCTAGTAGCCTCGAGGTATTATACTAGATTCGCAGATTAGTAGATTAGCTCTCAGGGCTCAAACTTGACGCCGTTCCAAACACTAACCCTAGCAAGAACAGTACTTCGCAGAATCTAACACTGAATCGGAAACGCGACCCACTGAGGAGATCCGGTGAGAAACTCTGTGGGCTGTATCTGTGGGTTAATTTGCTCGCCGAGTCCTTCGTCACAAGCGACGGGTTCGACGAAAATAATAACTAGATGGTGTCTTTGTTTGGTGCATAAACTACTAATCGTTAAGATCTATTAGTACGTATAGTAACGAATCAGCGAACACACTCTGATAATCAATCCAGTAGACATACCAAGCTGTATCTGGGTAATTAGTGCAAATTTAGTCCAAATTTGTCCAACAAGTTTTCCGTGATTGAGTAATAAACATCTAAACGTGTATTGAGATTGACGACTTAAACAATAACCAGACCACAGCAAGAAATCCCATTGATTGCGAGCTGACCATCAATAGATCGTTAACACAGTATAGATCAATGCGCATTTCGTGAACACAACAAAGTGTATTACGAAATAACACAATTAGTAGGATGAGTCTTGTGGCCCCGCCGCCGCGGCGGTTGCGAAGGCGATCGAGGTGAAAGTACCGCGGGAGGGGAGGGGAGGTATATGAGTGCCCCATGGGTACGCGCGCTTCACTACTCCGAAGCTACACAGGTGAGACCCCATATAAATGGCTATCACACACAAAACTAGCATTCTGTAACTCATTTTTGATAAAACGGTACGTTGTAGGTGTATTTTTGATTATTGTGTAAATATTTTGTTTCATTTATAAATTTCAATTCAAAGTTTTGTTACTGAATGTCTTTTTGTGTGCTTCGAAAATGTGTGATTATTGTTTAATTTGTTTAGTGTCCAAGTGCTTCCGAATATAATTTATTTTAACTTGAACGTGAAAACGCTAGCAAAAACATTACAATAAAATAAATTTACAAACAATGTCATATTATGTAAACGCATGAAGTTTTATTAACATTAAACAGTGTAATAGTCAAATTGTCTAGTTCTCTCAAAAAACAAACACATATTTTGAAGTAATCGGCATTTGAAATCTTTTTAATATAATATATCAACAATCTCTCTCAAAGTGAAACTGCTTTGTAATGGCAGAGCTCATATCTGATTATCGTAAGTCCGTGAATGATACCGCGTGCTTTACATAACGGCCACAGGAAGACCACACTTTCATTGATATTATGTAACTAATTCTGATTCTGAATATCTCGCGGCTACGACAGTTACTTTTGGACTTTATCGCGCCAAAGACTTTATTAAAAAATTCTGTTCGTCCATGATAGTAGACAATTGAGATGAAACATCGAAGAAAAAATCTACAAGAACAATTATTATTAAAGTTTAGATTAAATGAAATTTGCCGTCTTATACCCATACCTCCGACTTACAGTGAAGATCGGCAATGAGCTCTTCCTCGGTGTGTTATCTGCTACATTTTTATTTTCGTTCACAGATATTTGACACAACAAACAATGCAGTCCTACGTGTTCTGCCTCCTGGTCGTGGTGGCGGTCGCCGCTGCCGCCCCACAGCGCGAGGGTGCTGTCTTCTCAAACGAAGCCATTAAGCAGGCCCAGAACACTCAGCTTATTCCTAAGGATGCCGTGATCCAGAAGGTAATAATCGACCATTTCCGGCCAGTAGATTTACGTTTTTACGACATCGAAGCCAGCTGAAATGTAACCCACAATTCAGACCGTTTGTCCAAATGTCACGTGCGTGGTTGGCGTTGGTTTAGGCAGGTTTGTATAAGCCCGGCCGTAACCGTAGATCAACAATACTTTAAAATAATAAGTGTGTTTATTGTACTCGTAATTAACTAAGAGATTATATAAAAGCACGGGTTGGTGCTTGGTGGGTGCTTGAGACACACTTGGCTCGCAAAATACGTCCACTAGTTCTCGTCTATCTCCTTATATCAAAGAACAAATAGTTGTGAAATTTATGGGAAACCTTAAATAATAGTGTACATATAAAAACAAAATTTAAATGCAAATTTTATAGTTCTCAAATAATTTTGAGCGTGTTTATATTAATACGAAATTGAAGATTTTTAATTTGATAACTCGTTAGAACAGTTTCCGGTCTTCTGACGATAGCTCGTAAACTGTTTTGGCATTCCGATGTGAAGGTTCGTAAGATCGTTGTCACTGTATATACATACGTGTATAGACAACAGAATAAGTGTTTTCTCCGGTTTTTAGACATAATTAAAACTATTTTTTCGGTTTATTTATTACGGTATATTATTTCTGAGATTTCGGATCCTTTCCAGTTGTCGTGGTATAACGTCAATAATAAAAGCGAGATTAAACCGTAAATTTAACTTAGCTAGGGTTTCATTTAAACTAGCTTATTATGTTCTCGTATATTAAGCACAGCCGCACGCAATAGTGCCCAGAGGCAGCTTGTTAACAGAGTGTTGAGACTGTTGTCATAGATGCCGCGGCCCAGTCTCGGCAAAGGTAAGCCCGTTGTAGCCGCGAAGACTTGAAAGCTACACAATGTATCGTGTCCGGTGGAATTACCGATGTATAAATAAATAATAATCAGGAATCATTGTGTCAATTTAAATCGAGAATTTGAAGTACTCTGACACTAAGCTTATCACAAATCTATCTTTATGCATTTAAATCAATATTAAAATTTATTTCAGAATTCTATTAAGTTCATGCTACTATTTGCTTTCTTTTTTACATAAGTATTTTTTGGTTATTATATGGATGGATGTGGATGAAATATCAATTTCCTCACATCAAAAATACAACGTTACGAGCCAGGTTAATCGTATTGTATCGTATAAAGTATTGATCGTGCGCTTTGAAAGCATTTGAAAGCAAGATCTGCGTTTATGTTGTATAGTATAGTCGATAACTGTCGAAACCTTAGCGTTCACTCTCTTGTAAAGTTCACGTTACAAAACACAGAGAACCACGCTGACATGGACGCATTCGTTATTTGGCTTTGAAAGTGCTGAAAGAAAACTCGCGCATGCATTAGACAATATCCGACAATCTGCGTCGAGACCATTCATTGCAAATAACGCAATCATCTTTATCACATATCATGCACTTTAGTGTTAGTGCAAATTGATATGTTTCATCATTTTTCTATTGATTTCATTGCGATATCGGACACCCTTGAAATGAACGATGTCGTAAAATATGATTGCATGACATTGTGGTTAAGTACATATGTTTGGATTTCGGAAACTGTTTCGACAGAAGCGCGTTGTTCAATTATGATGATTTATTATAAACATAATCTTCATCTTTCTTCATATCTAGTTATTAATTCTTATCGTAGGATGGTAGTACGATATGAATTAATAGCATTGGCACTAGTAATGGGACACGCTGTAGGCTCACACGTGTGAATACTAATTTGAAGGGTAGGTCTGCCGTTGCACTAATTCAATTTGATACTTTAATGACAACACAACGTGAACGACACCACACATCTTGAGACATGAGGTCCAAGTTTTAACTGTATTGTTTAATGACTGTCCCACCCTTCAAAACGGAACGCTTGACTCCTTCGAAGCGTAAATAGGTATAGGTAGTTAATCAGGTAGACACCAGCTCTTAAAAGTGAATACATTTTGTGCTTACTTTAACAATAAGGGGAGGATACATAATTAAATTTCGCAATTTCTGGCACAGGTGCAGGAGGGTATTGAACTCGCGGCCTACCAGTCAATCCCTGGCAACCAGAGGATCAACCTGTACGAGATCCTAGGAGACCAGGTGCCTTCTGAAGTCATCAACAATCTGCAGAGCCAGATCGACCAAGTCGGCAGGAACTGAGCTAATTAATATAAGAAGAAACATGTTTTGAGGAGACTGTTATGATGACAAGAAACCCTGCTTAAAAATTTAATTGAACTAAAAATCTTTGAGAGAGCTTCCAACTCAAGTCGCAAGCTTACGTCATATACATAGTTTGTGTGAGCTACAGTTATTTCTTAACAAAAATTTAATGAGAGTTTATCATTTCCACTTAATCCAGCAACTGACGATCTCAACCAGTAGAAGATACTATAAAAATCACAAATTCATCAAAATAATATTACCGAAACACTTAGTCGATTCTGGTTATTAAAAAAATCCGACTTCAACACATTATCTACATTCTATCATCTACAGTATTCTACTTCACGTATACAAGTATGTAAACAAGAATTGGAAATATGAAAATAAGTTTGACACATTTTGTAATGAACATCATAACTGTCTCTGATAGCAGCCATGTCAACAAATTAGATATTAATTTATTCGTGTCGAACCAGCGGAAGGTGCGTAACGGTATTTTGTATGTTTGTATATAAAAGAAAAATGTTATTTAAAAATAAAAATGATCGTGTTTTAAATACTTGTTTCTCTTATTGTCTCAAATTTATGGGTTTATTATTATCAAATATAGTATTGCCGAACTCTACACGTTGATATTCGGCATGCCAAATACTAAAAATACACATAACAAAAATAAGGCAGGGAACCTAACTCAGACTATAGGTTCGTACCCGGCCTGTCTGATAGTCAGTTTGTTTTCTTTCAACTAAAAAACAGTACTTCAGCATATTTAGTTGTAAAAAATATTCGAGATAAGAGCCAACAGAGATTAAAAAACTCAGTGACTTGTTTAACAAAAAATAGAAAGCCTTGGGGGAATTGAATAAACCATCACGCATCGATTGTGGACTTTATTACGATAAGCACGTATCGAATGAATAAGTGTTCCGAACCTCCGCGGCTCGTGTCCTGTGTGGTATACTGTATGGCCATGCCATCCGTCTCTGTGATGGAGTACTCCTGCTTCCAATGAGAAATTCAGAATACCCATTATTATAACAGTGATGAGAGATCACGTCAGAAGGTAGGATGTCGTGGTTTTCCATGGAAAGGAGCTAATTCGGCTACTCATCGAATATTTAGGCATCAGCATTTAAAACGGTTCAGTTATGTTTTTATGATATATAATTTATATTCTATTAATTAACATAACGAGTTGAAAACCAGATTACCTACTATTTAACATCTCAGTTGTATGAAAGTAGATATTTAATTAATTTATTGTTATTTAATGTATTATGTCATTAGTTTGGTAATAATATCATAAGTGTTTATTTTATCGTATGTTCTCTTTGGGTTCTAGAAGTTTTCAGTAAACTGAATCGAAGCTTACAGCTGTCTCGGTCTTAAAACAATTCAAATGCATCAGTCAGCCATAAAAGTAGTAAGAATGTTAATGTTGATTTTAACGAAGCTATCTATCAAAAAAGTGGACGAGTGCGAGTAGAATACGTTTGGAGTACCGTTAGCTTATTCACACATGTACATATGTAGATAAATTGTTAGCTTTGCCTGTTTTTGATGCTGAGAATTTCGAAACATTTGAAAATCTTTAAGTTACTTTTTTTTAAATTAAATAGTTATTTTCCGTAGTTTAACTCAGTAGGTGTTCATGTACCTGCGGAATAAACGTATGAGTTCTTAGTGTCGTATACATGGACAGACAGATAAACAAGAAAATTATATACATATTTGTATTTGTTTGGAGTTACAGAGCCACAAATACGATACGAATTTAATAATATTAAACTATTTAGGCGAATCTGATTTCCCAAATGGGTATTACATTCTGTGCGTTACTTTATGTTGGTATTATGCAACTGATTACTGATGTGATGAAAAGCTTCAGGCCAACCGCACAGATTATTTATAAATATGGTTCTTATTCATTGCCAATGTGTCGCGGCCAGCTCTGTTGTCGTCATTCATGTTGTAACGAAGATGTTAAATTACTTTGCTTATTTACCGTGAGTTTGAGAATCTTGGAATGTACTGGACTGATTCTAAAAAATATTTCATTCTCATATTGTTTCAAGTTTATTTACAAGTGTAGTCAGCTGTAGGAAACGATTTGATTATTTTCTTAGCATTGGTGGAACTCAGACAGGTGGGCGAGCAAAGGCTCAGCCAGGAGGGGTGGAATTTGCTAACAGCTGCCCGAGCGCCTCCGAAGGAGACCTAACAACTCAAGAGCAATTGCTTCTCGAATGAATCTACTACCGGATCGGAATCGCGACCCGCTGAGAAGATCCGGCGAGAAACTCAGCGAGCTGATGCATGGGTTAGGTTGCACGGCGAACTCTTTGTCGAGTTCGACGAGTACGGTTACCGGGGTCCCTAAGCCTGCTCCTAGTGTTAGAGCTGAAGGCGTTTAATGCAAAGGTTATTGGATCTGATGGATCCGTCAGGACGTGTCTAGGGCGTCGACGATGACTGGTTTCTGCATGATCAGGATTCGGGGAGTAGTCAGTGGCGGCAACGATAAGGCGATTATCATGACGCATAGCCTTATCGAACTCATGAGCTATGAGCCCATGCGATCGTTTAACGTGAGATGTTAGCTTCAAGGCAGTTAACCTAACCTAAAAAAGAACATTAATCAGTAAAGTTGTGAAAAATTGTTATGAATAATAAAATTCAAGAGAATGTGTCGAGAATGGGCACACAGTACAATTGCAATGTTGCGAAAATCATTACGAGACCATTTCGCAGAAACACATTAGACGCTACTATCTGCCGAATATGTTTATTTACCTACTGAACTTTTAGCATTTTATAAAATGTATTTTGAAAAATAAGCGTTTTAAGCTATTTGTTAACAGATTTAATTGTGAATTTATAGTATTATATTTGAATTGAAACAATTTAACCGCTTCTACCGTCGCAAGTAGGTAAATATGAGAGTGGTAAAGTTTATCTGAGACATTTTCAGCAGCACATCCTATGACTTATTGTATACGTAGTCCTGTGAGATGCTCTGTGATCAGTACGGGAACATGGAGACATTATCATTCTATTCTAGTTACGATGATGAGTTACCCAAGCTACTCGCAAATGTTGTACTTTTTTTCTTTTTTTCTCAGTCATTTGCACTCTCGGCAGAGTGGCCGTGACAATTATTTCGAGTGGTGATGTGTTGTACATATGTATCAGATTAATATTCTTCTCCCTTCCTGGACCAGCCCTTGAGTTCGCTCATCGGTCCTAGCCAGGCGACGAGCTCTCTAGACCAGCCATAATCCTTCTAACCCAAAAAGAGTATTCTGTAAAAGTATCTCGACGTACTCGTTGCGAGTACGCCGGAAATACATGTGACTAGGAGATGTATGGAAATGATAGTGCTAGGTAGAGGGGGAAGAGGTCGATCGAAGAAGACATGGATGGAATGTGTGAATGACGATATGAGGGAGAGAGGAGTGAGTGTTGAGCTGACGGCTGATAGAAGAGAATGGAAAAGAAAAATTAGTTGTGCCGACCCCACCTAGTGGGATAAGGTGAAGAAAAAGAAGAAGAGTAGGTACACCGGTGTTCAAAACTCTCATTATTCTCGAATAATTAAGTGAGTATCACGTGTTCACAAACGACGTTCGTGATGGAATGAAACCCGTACAGTTAATAAAATGGCTGCTGGTATTACGGTGGTGGTACGCGCGTAATAAGATTCTCAATGCCGACATTTGCATACATCTCAATATGTCGAGTTGTAACTGTTATCGTCTGCATTATATTTGATTAGCGCCGCTGTTGGTTCAATCGTTATTCAGGATCGTGTGCTCCTTGGGTGAGTTGCGATGAGGTTTCCCAGTCAGTTATTACAGCATCGTTACGACACGTCGCGACACCGGCATGATAATCAATTTATTAAATGTATGGGCCTGGAGAAAGTTTGCTGATATGTGGGCTCGTGGCCGCGGTATACTGGCCACAGGTGACGTTAGGGAACGATTATATTGGTTTCGTGATTAAAATTTTAAAACTATTGGATAGACGCCGAATTAATTAGTTTTTTTTTTTAATATTTATCATTTACATGGGTGAACGAGTTCACCAGGCCCATCTTATATTAAGTGGTTACGAGAGCTTATGGACATCATAAATTCATTGCGGTCACAGTTTTAATCTATGTAATCTGTAGAAAATCAATGAGAATACGTATTCAAGTATTCCATAAAATAGCATAAAGATTTATTAAAAGCATTTCATAGAAGTATTTCTCGGGTTATTATGCGTTAATCATAGAAGATATAGATATAGGCGTGCATACAGCTTAGTATATTATTTTGGAAAGAATAATGATGTACTATTACAATTAATATTATTATAATTTTATACAATTATACAGACGGTGCACGCCAGCAAGCTACCAGTCGCCATGATCTTTAACGAATATCGACACATGTCAGTCAATTTGAATAAAATTTAATCCACTAGGAGTTTGTTTTATAGTATAAGGGTTATAGTATGTAAGGGATTTGTTTTATAATTGATGTTATATAAATATAATATACGTGACAGTGCCGGCTACAATCATATTAGAATTGTGTTCATCGCCGGGACGGCGCGGCGCGGCGGCGATGAGAGCTAGTCGCAGGGCGTCACGTAGGAACAGTATGTTCAGACTTTCGGGTTTGTCAAGGTTCTTAATCCGTTCTTAATGTTAAGTAGCTCGCGTGATCGTTGTGTATGCAGCCCTTATACTACGTTCACAAGACAATTAATTACACGACGCTTATACTCCTTACATCCTTTTTTTGTTCCGATTAACAGTCAATCAGCTTAGCTGTGATTTAGATATTTTTTGTAAATCTAGGAGTTTTAAAGCAATCTTGTACGGCGTGAAATTGAAGAAATACTATAGTGTTTTCAATTGACGGGGAAATACTATGTATCCATTATGAATAACAATATCATGTACCTAGTGGTAAATCAAAATGAAGCTCGCATGGCTAGTTACCGCCATCTTAACAATTTCTGCCGCGAAACACGAACGCTTTCCGGTATTGAAGGGAGGAACAGCTGACATTAAGTACTATTGAGATTTCGAGCTCATGTTTTAAGGTGAACGGCGGCGCGGTATTCGTGTTGTGATATCCATTCCGGTAATCG